ACTCAGTACCATACTGGACCTTGGGTCTCCCCTTTTCTTTGCGCATCTAGGGTCATTTGTTGCACCCTAAATCATTTTCTTGAAAATGCCCAGAAGGTTCCTAGAAGGGGTGGTGGGGAGAGGAAGGTTAAGGGAGTCTTTCTAGCTCTGCCAGAGGAACCATCCCTGGGAATTGCCCTGGCCCAGATCGTCGGGACATTGCTTAGACGTTGGCACTGACTACAGGAAGGAACGGAAATGTCACAATGCAAGGGGAACAGTATTTACTTTCAGTAAAATTGGTACAGACATCATCCTGGATAGATATATAATAAAAATGAAGACAGAAATGATACCCTTGAGAATTATGAAATCAGACAAAACTATACAGAAAGCATCATCAGTATACAAATCTCTATAAAGGATCTATGGAAACTGAATAAAAATCTCTTGGCATCCAAAGTGCATTCTTATACACCTCCACTGAATCCCAAAGCCCCAGAGAATGACAGAAGGAATTTCCTGGACTCATCCATATCCTCATTTTTTTCTGTTTATTTAGATTTACGGTGCTTGGGTAAAACTCAGCTCCTACTGTCCTGAGGATGACTGATCAGTCTCAGCCACATATGATCAGAATTGTTTTTGCCTAAACTGAAACAAACATTTTCTTGGTTCCTGCTTCGCTTTTAACATGCGCTACCCTAGTGATAGAACCATAAGGCCAATACCCAGGCTGTGGAGAGTCTTGATCAAAAGATGTACCCTATGTTCAGGCTGGGCTTGATTTTTCTTATGTGAGCCAGCTCCCGATAAGCTTCTTCACTGAATCCATATTTGTTCAACCTTTGGGGACAAGAAGGAAAGAAGAAGAAACTTAAAATCTACTATAAATACTTACTGTTTTCTAAAACAGCTGGCTGCCAGACCCATAACATTGCTGTTAAAGAAAGCTAAAACCTGTCAGCTTCAGGACCAAGAGGATTCTTCCTGTCCCAGTCCAATAGATGTGGCTGTTGTAGTTCCCATTTTTAGCTCTGACCAGTAACAACGTTAAGCATATGTTCCCAGTAGACACATGTGCACACATACACCCACACACTACACACATGGACAGCCACAAACACCAATACTCAGTCAGCAATGCTTTTACCAGCATCCACATAAACACCAAAAGCATATGCATAGACATGACTAACACAGTAAGTCCAACCCTGTTAATTGTCATAAATCAGATATCCTTAAATTTCATGTATTTTTATGCTCACTCTCCCTGCCCCCTACCTACTGCTCTCACTGTCCTCAGGTTGTTGTGGGGAAGGAAGTGGGAAGGAAAATGGCTGGAACAGTCTAAGCCTTTCCACTCCCTTAAAGCCCCCTACTGAAAAAAATTTATTTGTACTCATGGCTCATACAATGCACCATCAGGATAAGCTCAGTACAGACTGCTGAGGGGACTGTTCTTCACTCAGGGGAAAAGTAAGGCTCCTGTTTTAATCGTCTTCTCAGACATAGAACACAGTGCAAGACCTGGTCTTTTTGAAGAAAGGATCTCACTTAGTCTAGGAATGATCCTTGACTCTTGAACCCTTGCCTATGAAGGGCCTTCTTCAGTGTGAGAGCCTTCTTTGTACAGTCCTCTTTCCACTGAAAGGAGACACAAAGCACCAAAGTTCACAGAAAGGCCTCCCTGTTTTTAAGAGGAGAATTCTGCTCTCATTGAAGACAGGAAGTAAAAGAGCTCTATGCCTCCAATCTCAGGTCTTTTTCCATGCACAAGCAAAGTCTAATTCTCAGCAGTACATTCTCTTACATTAACAAGCATCTAAAGAGAAGGTCGACTTTAAGTGATAGTTTTAGGGATGGAATAAAGCCGGTAATAAATTTCTGGACTGAAGCAGGTCTCAATTACATCTGCCAGTGCAGTACTCTGACTACCTGGCAATGCTTCCCCCACTTTCTCACCTGGCAAGTCTGGCCACTCACATCCAGAGAAGCAAAGGAAATCAGACTCATAGAGTGATACAGGAGGGAGGGGACCCCTGCTCATCATCTAGTCCAACCCCCTGCTCCAACTTATAGCAGGACCTGTAAGGGCCATGTCCTGTCAAGATTCGAATATCTCTAAGAATGGAGACATTATAACCTCTCTGGGCCCCTTTCCTAGTGTCTGACAACCCTCATGGAACCAATAAGTAAATAAAAGTCCTTTTATCTAATTGGAATTCCCTTCTTGCAAAGCTATGAGCATGGCCTCCTGTCCTGTATTAGTGCACTTCACAGATACCAGTAAGGTCCACCCTCTACTTTTTTTTTTTTTTTCTTATGACCAAACTGACCAAATTCACTCAGCCTCTCCACATGTGGCACATGCTCCAGTACCCTTAAAAACTTGGAGGCCTCTGCTGGACTTTTTCCAGTATAGCAATGTCTTTCTCATTCTGTGGATCCCAAATTGGACCCATTAATCTAGATGAGGTCTCACAAGTGCTGAATAGAGGGGAAAAAAATCACCTTCCACAACCTGCTGGCTACATCAGTTTTCAGTTCACCTCACTGTCCACTGATCTAATGCATATTTCATCACTTTGTCAATGGGAATGTCATGGAAGATAGAATTGAAAGCCTTGCTAAAGTCAGGATAAATAACATCCAGCACTCATCCACTGAGACGGTAATTTTATCATAGAAGGCTATCAAGTTCCTCAAGCATGATTTCGCCTTCATAAATCCATGCTGACTAGTCCCAGTCATTTTCTTCAATCTTTCCATCATGTTCCCAGGGATCGATGTGAAGTTTTTCTTCCTTATTTTAAATAACAAGGAGAGACACTTTTCTGGACCTGTTAGGTTGTCAGTCATCTGTGTCAGAAATTTTCTTTGACAGTCTGCAGATACCTCCTAGCATGATTGCATCTCTCAAGAGGATACAAGAGCAGGGCTTCTCCATGAGGAAAAGAGCTAGGAACCAAAGGTAACATAAGCACAGGCAGGGTAACCCCTCACCAGAGTGCAGTCCCATAGGATCAGAACAGGCTGAGCATAGCAGGGGTGGCTTCAATCAGTTCCCTTTCTACGCAAAATGCACTTCTAGCAGCCAATATGGAAATTAGCTAGTCATACTCAGCACAATCCTGAGAGCTTCACTCCTTTTTAGCAGTTCTGCAGGAGCAAGTGCTTGGGGTACCCTCTTTTAGGGACTATTAATGCTATTCCAAAAAGGCTGGATGCAAGTTACGAATAAAATCACAAGGTTGACACTGTCAGCATCTTTCCATCCCAGAAAGAGTATCTCCCCAGAGTCAGTCTCATGCCCTCCAAAGCTCTCCCCATAGGACAGCCTGGGGAATGCTCAGAGGGGCCCCAAAGTTCCTTACCGAAATGCTTTCAGTCGGCATGCAGGGTGTTTCAGCCCCTCACACAACAGGTGCACTCCAGCATCTCCCAGGGCATTAGCACCCAGCCCTAGCTCCAGCAGGGTCTGGCTGGTGCGGAGCACAGCAGCAAGATCCCCACAGCAGGCATCTGTGAGACTGCAACCCCACAACCTGCAGAGGAGACACAGAGAGAGGGTTCAGGGGCTCAGGGCCCAGCTGCTTTGATAGCCCCACCCACCAGGCCCTCTCCTGGCCAATCAACAGTGACAATGGTCAGAAACCCTGCCATTAAGTGCCTAAAGAGGTGCTAGTGCTGGAGGCACTACCAGCTCCCTACACAGAGCCTTGGCTTCCACTCAGCCAATCCTCTCTGAGAATTGCTCAAATGGGGCTTTGGCCACGTACCTCTGTCCTGGCCAATCAGCAGTCAGGTGGGATGCCCCCAGTCCTTCCCCACCTCTCTCTGCAGGCCAATCTCAGTCCCAATAGCACTAATAGCTCCTCAACAGAGTCACCAGATAGTTCAGTGTGGAAGGGACCTCAGGAGGTCTCTATCCCAATCTCCTGCTCAAAGCAGGTTCAGCTTTGGGATTAGACCAAGTTCCTCAGCCCATTTTTATAACGTTTGTCCTCCAGCTTAGACCAGTCTCAGTGATGTCAAGAAAGGCACTGAACTGGAGGAGGAAATCTGCACAAAACAGTGCAACAAGCTCAGTCCAAGGCAGGCTAGTCTCTCAGTGTAACAACAACATTCTTCCATCCTTCTTACCCCTTCAGGGTTTATTTCTCTGGCCATGTAGACAGCCAGTGGTTGTATAACTGCAGCTGGCAATGACCATTTTTCATCCTGGGCGCTATAAGCCCTTTGGCCTTCTATGGAGACCTTGCAGGAACTGCTTTGTGACAGATATCACAAGTCCTCCTTGAGCTGAAGATTCACAAATCACCCCCACACAATTCCATTAGCCATGATCTGGAAATCCTCTTTTCAGCAGGCTCTCTCCTGCTGTAAGGTCTTTCTTTAAGCTATGCTCTTGCCACTAAAAGGTGGCATGGTTTCCTGTACTTTACAAGAAGCTAAGCCAAAGTTTAAAAGGCAAGCTTATTCCTCCTGGATGATGGGACGTTCAGAAAAGGAAGAGAGAGCATATGAGAGGTTAGAAAAGCCTCCTTCTGGACAAAAAATAAACTTTGTAATCCCCAACTTCCTCTTTTTAATGGAAAAAAAATGGTTAGTGATAGGGAATCTAAGGCCTGAAATTTCAGAGAGAAAAGTCCAGTGGGAGCACAACCCCAGCTGAGAGTGATATAAAAGAACTTCCTCTGGGTCAATCAAGGACACCCAGGAGAAGTCATGGATGAGGGGCATGACAGAGGAAATCTCTTGAGGAGTGTAGCAAGAGAACACCTGCAGAAGGAGTTAGGTGACTGGCAGAGTAGGTGATAGTAGAGACTGAAATCCATCAAGGCCGGACATGCATATTCTATTTTGTCAACAACGTCTAGCTGCTTTGCAGACAGCAGTTACTCAGGGTTAGCACAGCTCAGATAAGTAAATAGTTCTAGTAGATAAAAGGGGCCCTTAGGGTACCACAGAGTGAGTCCTGCTTGGGTGTCCAAACTGCATCCAGCAGCCTCCCATCAACAACCCCTCCAGTTCTCCATGCAGTTTACACTGTAAGTCCTTCACTACATCTACTTTGTTTAACCCTTCATATGACTTGAGTATCTCTCTGTGTTCATATCCAACCCTCTCTTTCCTACCTTGCGGTCACAAGAAGGGAGAACAAAAAGGGAATACTTACAAACAGAGAGATCTAGGGGGAAGAAAAGAAGAAAAAGGGAAAGTTAGGTTCTTGCTTAGAGTACACAGGCTTTAAAAGGAACAGACAGGTGAGATACTCTGAGTACAGCTGAAACATTGAAAGAAGAAGAAAGGCAAAGACACACTGAAATTCTTCTTTGAAAAGACAACACAGCCATGAAATACAGGCTCAATGTATGTTGCCAAGAGCAGGGATTCCAATGACATGATGACACCATTGCAGACATGGTTAACTGTGAGAAGAAAGGGCAGTGAAAGGGAGAGTAAGACAGCAAGCTCAGTTGAACTACTTGCAAGTGGCAGAGTAGGCACCTTTGTAAAGCCATGGATATTCAGGCAAACAGGTCTGCTGGGACATTCCTGCCTTCTGTTAGCCATATTGTGTGCTTGGGATGTTTCCCAAAGTCAAAGTCCTCTAATAAAGCCATTTTCAAGGAACTCTTCCTTTTCCAGTCTAATATCTAGTACAGACCTGTGCATTCATGGCAACATTTCTAAGTGTCCAAACGTGCCTTAAAAAACTCTTTTCCCCTCTTCCTTATGTCTCTTTGCTGTCCAGCTGCTCTCTTGTTGCTCTAGTGGACTAACAAGCCTGGCAATTTTAATTGCCCAGCCTCCCTGCATTGCTTTCAGTGTCAATTTCCTGTTGGATTGGTTCCATAGGTCCTTCCATAAATACAGCTTTGGCCATTTTAGTGGATCTCCATGTTCTGCTGCCAAGAGTGGTTCAGCATTGGGATTTTTAGTTTCCTCAGTGTTCACTAGAATTATTGGTTTCTCTCAGGGCAAGAATCCTGTTTGCAATGGAGAGACCTACACCGAGCGATATGCAACAGCTGCCTGCCTTGAAGCTGGATGTCTATGCTCCCATAAAAAGTCAGGGAAGACTTAGTACTTGGAACTTCTGCTCTTCTGGAATGGAAGCCAGAGGCCAGAAGTGCTGTGTGGGTAGAACAGCTGACTGGAAAGGGAACTGTGTGACATGTGAACACATAACTGTGGCCTAAGGTGGACTAAGGACCTTGCAGATTCCAAGAGAGAGGAGATTGAATCTCCCTCTCAGTCCTATTCTGACTTTCCCAAAGAATATCCCTGCACTTAAGTTATTCATACAGGGATCATCTGTACTGCAAGAAGGAAAGGAACCTTCAGAGAACTTTTGTTCCTGGCAAGGGAGCAGATCTTATGCCAGAGTTAATCACCTCTGGTGAGTTGGGGGCTTCTTTCATTAGGTCACATGCTCTGCCATCTTCCAGCATTACTTCATCTAGGCTATCAGACACTCAGAGCCAAAGAAACAAAGCTCATGGAGATAAGGTGCCTGGGGAGGAGGGGGGCTTGCCATTTCCCATTCTATACAGAAGCATGGCAGGCTGAGAGCACAGAATAAGCAGTAAGGATAAGCAGGGTAAGCAGTGACCCAGCACCAAGGACACATATCACTCTCAGTCTTCCTTGACCTTGCAGGTGAAAGCTCCTTAGCTCCAAACACATACTTCCGCAAGCCTTCCTCACAGCACAGCCTGGGGAATGCTCAGAGGGGCCCCAAAGTTCCTTACCCCAGTGTCTGCAGTCGGCATGCAGGGTGTTTCAGCCCCTCACACAACAGGTGCACTCCAGCATCTCCCAGGGCATTAGCACCCAGCCCTAGCTCCAGCAGGGTCTGGCTGGTGCGGAGCACAGCAGCAAGATCCCCACAGCAGGCATCTGTGAGACTGCAACCCCACAACCTGCAGAGGAGACACAGAGAGAGGGTTCAGGGGCTCAGGGCCCAGCTGCTTTGATAGCCCCACCCACCAGGCCCTCTCCTGGCCAATCAACAGTGACAATGGTCAGAAACCCTGCCATTAAGTGCCTAAAGAGGTGCTAGTGCTGGTCTGTCAAGAGACAGAGCAAGGGAAGGACTGCCCCAGCCCTCTCCGTGGACCTATCTCAGCTCCACCCGGGCACCAAAAACCCCTCAGTCCCACCCAATCAGTACTGGGCCAATCAGGAGAGTGGTGATGAGGTGGGACTGGGGAGCTGTGCCAATCCCAGTAGGCCATGGCTGCAGGCAGCTGTGGGCATCCCTTGCCCAGGCAACTGGGCCCAGCTTGGCTGCTGCAGGCAGCTGGGCATCCCACTCTCCATCCCCCAGCCCCATACGCACCTGCTGGGCCCTGAGGGACCCATAGCCACCTGTTTCCTGGTTCTGCCTCTCCCCACAGGGCCCAGCTTTGCCCTCAGGCCTGGTCAGAGGTCCCTGCAAGGTACTGCACAGACAGTCTTATCCCTTTCTCCCTCTGAAAGCAGGGAGCTGAGGAAAGGCACAGTGGGCAGGAAGACATGGAACAATTATTTCTTCAGAACAACAGAGTGAAGAGAGCTGGGAAATAAGCTCTCCAAGCTCAGGAAAGCGCACCACAGCAATGGCTCCTGCTGGAATAAGTAAGCTAGTGCAAACTTTATCCCATCAGAAGACCTGCGATACAATGTTTGTATCCAATATGATTGTCCTTGCAGGTGCATTTTGGCATTGCCCATACACAATTTTCTTTTGTCTAAGACCTTGCAGATACTACTTGGAGCTATTTAACATGAGTCCTTTTTCAGTGGAAGAAATACATTCTAATAGCTTTAATCTAATAACCCTTTACTCTCCTGGGTTTCCCACATTGTAGTGGCTTCCTTGTATTGACTCCCCATCTACCATAAGAAGTCGTGATCTAATAAGACTTGCACTGAGTGGAGTTCCACGTCTTTTAAAGATATGCTTCTCTATCCTGAGAGTCAGAAGGGATTAATCTCAGGGTGAAAGAACAGTAGATTTTCTGTGTATAAAATCCTCCATAATGGGTGCAAGGTAAAGGAGGCAGAAAGGCATGAGCAAAGAGAGAGGACAAAGTGAGGAAGGACAGCAGTCTCACATAAAGATAGGGGAGAGGAGGGTTGGATAAAGAAGGAAAAGAAGGGGAGGGGGAAGGGGAAGGGGAAGGAGAAAGGGAGGGAAGGGAAGGGGGGAGGGGAGG